GAACATAACAAAAAATAACAAAATATTATTAAGTATTTTTATACTATTATTTAAAATCATGTGAAAAATATATTGTAGTTAACTATGATTATATACTAAGAAATGTGAATAAATAAAATGACAGTCATTTATTTATAGAATGGGTGTAAACACCTGACGCGAGTAAGTATTTACCGATTTTCTTTTAATATTATTTAGTACTTATTTGTGTATTAGAAGTAGTACTAATATTTACAGTTGGAAATTAAATGAAATTTGTTGCGCCAAATTATATCAACTGTTTTAGGTTTAAACTTATAGATGCATATCGTGTGTTGCACATTCTCTTATCTAATCATGGTTAACTAATATATTTTCTTATCTCTATAAATTACGTAACGGTAATAAATTTATATATAATTTCGTGTAAATACTAATACTCTGCCCCATTCCTATCCCTAGTTGATTTGTGGTAATTTTAGGGTTTTTTCTCAACTCCACCATGGATTCTAATTCCTAATTAAAAAAGGTTTTTATATCTTTCTCTCTCTCTCTCTATATATATATATAACACCCATTATTCTTCCTAATTCTCACATCTATACACAAAATCTCCTCATTATTCTCCTCTTCTACTTCTAAAATAATATTTTTATTTTTTTTCAACGATGGGAATTTTCTCATACTACAAAAAAGAAGCACAAGAACCACTCATAAAACCTATAGAAAAAGTCCAAGATAATTCTTCTTCTAATAATTCAAAAAAGAAGAAGTTGCAAATACCAAACAATGGCAATGGATTTGACATGGAAAATTATACCTGGAGTCAATCACTTGAAGAAGTTAAAATAAATATACAATTACCACGTGGTGAAAGTGAAAATTATTTTACTGTAGCAATTGAGAATAGTAATTCCCTCAAAGTTGGACGACATCTTCAACCATTTATAATAGATGGTCAACTTTTTAAGGAAATTAAAGCTGATAAATGGAGTTGGTATTTTTCTAGTAAAGAAGAAATTTGTATTATTCTTCCTAAGAAAAATAAGAATTTGTGGAGAAGTTTGTTGAAAGGTGGTCCAGAAATTGAAACACAAAATTTTGAGAATAAATGGAGGATTTTGACTCGAGGAGCATTGCAGCCGTGGAAAAGATGTATTTTTGGCTAGTTATGTAATTCACTTATTTTAGGCAGTAGTAATTAATTTCAATTTATTTTTGGTGGAATGTAATGTTTTTTTATTTGAGTTGAAGGAAATTGGATTTGAGTCAAGATTATTCTTTATTTGATCGGGGTTCTAAATTGTTTTTCTATTCGTACCATATTTCTTATCTTAGATTTTATACTACTTGTTGCTTTTCTTGTTTCGATTATCTTATTATTATTATTATTATCTTGCGGTTGTTTACTGCCGCTTTTTCATGGCTTATGTACTACTATTATATTTCTTTTAAACAATGATGTTGTTATGCTCTGCATGAGTCGACGGTCTATCAGAAACAGCTTCTCTTCTTTCGTAAGATAGGGGTAAGACTGTGTAAACACCATATTCCCCAGACTTCGCTCGTAAAATTACAATGAATTTGTTATTGTATATTTCACGTAAAACTATAATATTAAGCTGCTAAAACCAAACAAAGGCAAAGGCCTTGACATGGACAATTTTTTCATGGGTCAATCACTTGAAGAAGTTACCATAAAAATCAGAAACTTTAATTTTCAGAATTTTGAATAATACTTCTCTCATAGTTGGACGGTATTTTTAAGTATTTACTTTACTTTACTATTATACATAAAGAAAAGCAAAGCACCTCATGGTCGTCGTGTGTGCTTCCCTGAATTAAAATCTATTCAAAGGGTATTTTCGGCATTTTACGTTCTTTTTCGTAAGCTGTATTGCATTGTATGGTCTAAAAGAGTTGACTTTTAGCTATGTTCACGAAAAAGCCAGGGTTATTTCCTCTATTCCAATCACGTCCTTATATCGGTAATGGAAAGATTTGCAATCCTTTTTGCAAGTCTCATTTTACCCCTTTTTTTGGTCTTTTTTACAATAAATATGCTTGTACACCTTCGTAAATGCAACAGACAGATGAGCCTTCATTCAAAGTGTCAAGATTCAAACCTCGCTCCGGTTGTGATGGCGTCTCTCGTGAAGACAAGGCCAGCCAACCCACTCAAACATCCTTTTTCCACAATAGATAAACATGAATAAACAGTCTGAAAGATAATTTAATAACATCATTTCGCGGAAATACAACCCAAACACAGCCCAAACCGGGGTGTCACAAGTCACGAGCATCTAAAGGAGTCTAAATACATCTACAAGGCCAGTGGTATACAGTATGAAATTTAAAGATCAAAAGGTAAAAAATTCAGTGCTGCGGACGTTGGCGGTCACCTGGCTCAGCTATGATAGCAAATTTTTAATCAGCTCAAAACCCGCTACCGGTTGAACAAGTACCTGCATCTGCACATGAGGTGCATGGAGTAAAGTGAGTACTCCAACTCAGTGAGTAATGAAAGTAAATAATAACTGAGAAGTAAGAAATCACGTACAACAGATAATCGTGCTGTATAGAAGCACTGAAAAGCCCTTAATTTGAGAAAAATCAGTGAAAACTGTGAAATCTTTCAAAATATCTTGGCTTGGTTTTAAACCTCTTTTGAAAATGATCATGCACAGAAACCCGCCCCCTGGGCAATATTCTTATTCCTGGTCCGCCATTGTTACCTAACCAGATGCATCATACAGTGTCATTGTTACCACTGTCTAAAATTTATCCTCTTTAGGAGTGATCAGATAATACCAAAGCAGCAAATAGATATCTAAAGAAATAACGTAAACAATAAATAATGAACAAATGCATGAATGCAATGCAATGCATACAACGGTACACTCTAGTACCCGCTGCAGCGTGCAACCCGCTCTATTTATTTATCATCGACGGTGCTCACTGGGGTATGCACAGACTCTGGAGGGGCTCCTACAGCCCAAGCGCAATATCAGCCATCTCGTGGCATCACATAGGCTCTCGGCCTCAATATCAATATATCATTGCCGCGGCGCGCAGCCCGAACCATATCATAGGAAAACAACCTCACTATCGGGTCCTCGACCCATCTCAGTCAAATAATGACAACCACTCGGGCATGACATACTATAGGGATCTCAGCCCTCATATCCTTTTCATTTAATGATTCATGTTCAAAAGTGCAGTTATTATTATAGTTTAACAGTTGAAAAGATGACTGAGAGTATAATGTACGCAAACAAGTGAGAAAAACATATAAAGATCCCATATGGATTCTACAGGTCGACACAAGGCCCCAAACATGGTAATAAGCCCAATTCTCTATAATAAAGTATGCGTCTCAATTGCCAATATAGTTGAAATAACACTCGGGGTGGACCAAGTCACGATCCTCAATAGCAAACGACCCCGCACTCGTCATAGAATGCGTGTCACACCTCAATATAGCATTACGATGTGAAATCCGGGGTTTCAAACCCTCAGGATATCATTTACAAGCATTACTCACCTCAAGACGATAAAAATTCTAGCTCGCTATGCCCTTGCCTCTCGAATTGGTTTCCTCGTACGACGAATCTGCCCAAAATCACACAAACATCGATGAAGCTCGATTTCTAAAAGACGGGATTTTAGCCATACATATCTGGGACTTGCCCCTTAATGTTACTACAATGATCCACTACTCTTAGGTAAACTTCAATCTACAATAGAGCATTCAATAGGGCCAATATTAGTAATAAATTCTATAACTTATACCATTTAGGCATATTATCGAACACCTTGTAGGCATAGATATTTACACCTCATAACTATAGTATTGGTTTATCCAACTATCACCATTAACCAATAATTCATCCCACCATTATTCTTTGATAATTTATACTCTTAACATCACATGTGTGATCAACCATTCACACCCAAACCAATAAAATTCCATCAAATAAACATCTTTAAATCCCTACCATGTTCATGTATTTAAATTGAGAATTTATGGTCTCCAATCACTATACCATAAATTATAATACATGATTCATACTCATAATTCCATAATAATTTCATATGTGTAAGTCTAAGGTGTAGGATTACTTCTTGTAGACCAAATTTTGAAAGACAACCTTGGGGTGTTCTTGAGATTTTGAAGAAATCCAATGAAACCCAATCAAAATCATGTTGTAACTAGTGATTGAGAAGTGAAATCACCATGAAAACACACTTAAAACTCACCGTAGGTGTACAATCGAATGCCTTGGTCGAGTTGGGGTGTAGAGGAAGCCCTAAGCTTGAGAAATGACTTAATTTCTCTTATTTCCGGTCTTTAGGGTATTTAAAAACCTTCCAGGCGCGCCACAATTGTTTGTTAGGAAATCACAATTCGTCTTGTTAGGAAAAATAAGATTTGGTCGAATAGTTTGTTCAAGGGTGGTCCAGCAATTAACACACTAAATTTTGAGCCATAGACTAGTAAGCTTTGGAGGATTTGGACATAGATACAAGATACTATTATGCTCTAAAAAGTTAGTATTTTCCGTTTTAATTTAAATGAGGTAGTTTGACTCGGCTCGAAGTTTAAAAAAAAATATAAAAACTTTTGAAACTTGTGGTCTTAAAAACTTAAGGAATAAAAGTTTTATGGGACAATAACATTTGTGTGGTTATAAAAACTTTTCGTCAAAGATAAAATGAGTTAAAGAAAAATTTTAAAATTAAATTTTTTTCAATTATAGAAATATGTCATTCTTACTTTTGAAACGCACTAATAGAGAAATAAGTCATCTAAAGAGGTTTCTAGTAAACTTTGGAGGATTCTAATAATTCGAATTTTTAGAAAAAAAGTAGATAAATGAAAACTAGGAAAGAGGTGTTGAGTCGGTTTAGGAGCTTTCCAACTTAATTAAGGATTCTAATTACTAATTAAGAGGCCATTTATCTCTATAAATAATTCTTCTCCCAAATTCTCACATCAATTCACATAATTTCCTTCTCCTTCTACTTTTGCTCTTCTTTTTCAAAAACAATTATTTAATTTTTTTTTGAAGTATGGCAATTCTCTCTGATTATACTGAAGAAAATCAAGAACAACCTATGAAGTCTATCGAAAAAGAACAAGAAAAATCTTCTTCTTCAGCCCCAAAAGAAGAAGAAAATTCATCTTCACCCCCAAAAGAAGAAGAAAATTCATCTTCATCCCCAAAAGAAGAAGAAAACAAGAAGCTAAAGCCAAACAAGTCCAATGGTCTTGACATGGAGAATTATTCATGGGGACAATCTCTTCAAGAAGTTACCATCAATGTCCCAGTTCCTCCTGGTAAGATTTTCGATAATTTATATATTAAATTTTTTTGTATTTACTGTTTTATACAAAACTTGAATTTAAATAATAAAAAAGTTATTTGTAAGTTTTAACACGTCGCTAACCGTTTGTTTGGATGGTTGTTGCGTATTATATCATATTGTATTGTTATTTTAAATATAATATTTATTTTAATTGTTATTTTAATTTTATTGTATTATATCGTTACCTTATTTTTGCTTTGTTTTAAGTTCTTTTACCCTTTCATCCTAACTTTTAATGATTGCGCTATCAGATACTTTACTTTTTCTTTATAATATTGTATGCCTATTTGTTGGAGTGTGAATTTATGAGACGATAAAAAAGGATAAAATCTATTCAAACATTATATAAACTAAAATAATACGATATGATACGATACGATACACTAAGAAATGATACGTAATAACCATCCAAACAAACTGAAAGTTATTGTAGGTCTTTTAGTCTTACCTTGTGTTATTTTGTTTTTTTATCAGGTACAAAATCAAAATTTTTGGTAGTAAAACGACACAATCTATTTAAATATTATATAGACTAAAATAATATAATACAATACGATACGGTACGTAATAACCATCCAAACAAACGGTAAGTTATTGTAGGTCTTTTCGTCTTACCTTGTGTTATTTTATTTTTTATCAGGTACAAAATCAAGATTTTTGATTGTTGAAATCAAGAATAATTCCCTCAAAGTTGGACTCAAAGGTCAACCATTAATAATAGATGGTGAATATTTCAAATCAGTAAAAGCTGATGAATGTTATTGGAGTTTAGAAGATCAGAAGGAAATTTCAATTCTTTTAACTAAACAAAACAAATCTGATTGGTGGAAAAGTTTATTCAAAGGTGGACCAGAAATTGACACACAAAAAGTAGAACCAGAACCAAGTAAATTGTCTGATTTGGACACAGAGACAAGGGCAGCAGTTGAAAAAATGATGTTTGATCAAAGACAAAAGCAGATGGGACTTCCAACAAGTGAGGAAATTACAAATAAAGATATGCTTAAGAAATTTATGGAACAAAATCCTGATATGGCTAAGAATTTTGCTAATGCTAAGATGATGCCAAATTCTAAGATGATGGGCATGGGCTAATTGCATGGAAATTCACTACTAAATATCACGAATTAGCGACGGATAAATTCTGCAGCCTAACAAAAAAATTCATCTAGCAATTTAGCGATGAAATTCGTAGCTAATTCCATTTTTTGGTAGTGATTTTTTTAAATCTCTAGTAGATTTAGGTTTTTTTTTCATACTAGTATGAGAGATTGGAATGATGGTTGGAGTATTTCTTTGGATTTCCTAGCGCTTTATTATGTGGTCAATGCTTAAATCAATTAATCTTAATTTTTTTTCCTATTGATTCATTTTAGTTTTGGAATTTGATCCTATGATAAATTTATTTCGACTGTTTCTCTTGCTTGATTTTATTTTTAATGTCTATTAGATTTATATTTATTTCATACTAGTATGAGAGATTGGAACTATTGTTGGAGTTTTTTTTCTTTGGATTTGGTGTGGCTTTATTGTTTGATCAATGCATAAATCAATTACCCTTAGTTTTTTCTATGATTCATGTGACTAGTTCTGGAATTTGATTATGTGATAATTTTCTTTTTGACTATTTCTCTGGCTTGATTTTCCTTTTAGTGTCTAGCTACCAGTAGAATTAGATTTTCTTTATTCATACTAGTAAAAAGGTTACTTGTACCCGAAACCGATAGAGGTGGGTAGGTAGAATATCTAGCCGCACAGCGACACACAGGTGGATAAGTAGAATAGCTTAGGGGTGCAAGACAACTCTCTCTAAAGAACTCGGCAAAACAACTATGTAATTTCAGGAGAAGGGGTGCCTCCTCAAATAGGGGTTTGAAGTCTGAGCTTTTTGAGAGAGATTGGAGCAGTTTCTTTTTTAGGTTATTTGGATGAGGCTTTATTGTTTGGGCACCATAAATCAATTAGTCTTAATATTTCTATTGATTCACGTGATTAGTTTTGGAATTTGATCTTGTGGTAATTTTCGTATTGACAATTTCTTTACTTAATTGTTTTTTAAGTCTCTAGTGGGTTTAGAGTTTTTTTTTTGCCATAATAGTACTGGTCTAAGAGCTTGGAATTATTATTGAAGCTTTCGGCATGTTTTCGTGAATTTATTGTTTGGTCAATGACATGTTGCTTTCTGTTTGTCAGGGAGAAAAGGATTCTACTTGTATTTGGAATTTTCTGTTTGTTAGGAAAAGATATTCAAATTGTACTTGGAAATTTAATTGGTAGAATAGAATTATGAGGCTAAAATAGAGGAGGATGCCAGATTTAAATTTAATCGATTTACCTTTTAGAATTATTAGCATTAAACTCAATGTACTATTAAACTTATAGGTTCATATTTAGTAATATTTTTAAATGATCACTTGTAAATCTGGCCATTTTTAAATTTCTTCCTTGGCCGTCGGGACCGAGTGATAAGGCCATGATCTGCCGGAGAACAGATCACTATGTTTCCATAGGTACACGAACGATAACTTCTGACGTAACACATCTGCCGCCTACCTATCGTTTACGTGGCATCTGCGGGATCCAACTAGGATAGTGCGTCTTTTGTTCTTTTCCCTTCTCTCTTCATGTTCTTCCCTCTACTTTATTTGACAGGGCCGAAGAATACCACTTTCTATTTAGGATATCTCCCGCGGGGAGGAAAATAAGAATCTCAAAGTTTGGCTCAAATTCTTCAAATAATGTATTTCTTCTGTCGTTTTAGAATGGAAAAATCAAATGGTACTATTCTTCCTCATAATTTTACAATAATCAAAGTTTACTTATATATGAAAAAAATTATCAGCTATCTCTTGGCAACTAATAGTAACCTTTAACGATATTTTTATAAAGTACTTTATAAAAATAATAGAACGATAAGTTGAAAGACTATATATATTAAGATTTAGATTTATTTGTTTACAGCTGGTCTAATACGTGCTTAATATTAAGTTGTTCTTTCCATCAAGCTAAGATAGATCAATAATACATCATCTTTATAAACAATGTATAGTGAGGAAAACAAATAAAAAGAAGTGGTTACTATAATTTATTCAACGCATACATATTTCAAAATTCTACCAAGGCATCTTGCATATTTTCCCATAAAACCCAAATGAGATTTGAAGTTGATTACTCGTTAAGCATAAAATTAAGAAGAATAATTCAAATAGCCACCCACCTAATTGCTTAAACTAAAAATAGCCTGCGGATGTATAATATATGTAAAAGTCATATGTCATATGTGTATAATCATTATATAACCTATCTATATCGGCTAAAAAAAGTAAATATTAAATCTAGCCAACTAAATGTGTTAAAATCCCTAAAATTAAAGCACATTCACTAAGGAAGAAGAAGCAAAATAACCAACACCATATTTTATACTCAATCCATGAAATTTCATAAAGCATATACAGAACCTCATATCGTGAAAATGCTACAATTTTACGGATTCGCTAAGGATTTAAAATAGATCTTACTGGTTCACTTGTAATATATCTTACTGGTTCACTCGCAATATATCTCACCGGATCACTTGCAATAGATCTCACTGGTTTACTTGCAATAACCATTATATAATCTATCTATACCGGCTAGAAAAAAGCAAATATTAAATATGACCGACTATTTGTGTTAAAATCCCTAAAATTAAAGCACATTCACTAAGGAGGAAGAAGAAGCGAAATAACCAGCACCATATTTTATACTCAATCCATGAAATTTCATAAAGCATATATAGAACCTCATATCTTGAAAATGCTACAATTTTCATGAGTTCGCTAAGGATTTACAATATATCTTATTGGTTCACTCGCAACATATTTCATTGGCTCACTTGCAACATATTTTACTTGCAATATGTTTCACCGGCTCACTTGCAACATATTTCACCGGCTCACTTGCAATATATCTTACTGTCTCACTTGCAATATATCTCGTTGGTTCACTTGCGACATGACTTCTTGAGTCATCATCCCATACAAAGAGCTCACATTTACCTGCAAGCAACATACACATTCCTTCTTCATGTACTCTCCAATTACATACCTCATTAGTGTGACAAATTTCAGTATCATTAAAATTAAACAAGTCGAAAAACCCATGTTTATTCCCTAATTTAATAGCACAAGAAAGAGTATTATTTCCTCCTGGAACAATAGGTATATAGAATTTATCAGTCCATCCTGGTTTCATCGAGTAGTCGCCACGATCTTCTCCATATATATAACATCTTGCTTCTGCTGTATTTGGAGTTTCATTTTTTATAATAACAACAAAATCACTAGTCGAGTTTTGTGAATTAACAGATGAAATTGATAAAAAACTAAGTAGGAAAAGGTAAATTATCAAGTGATGTAATGAGGAAGACATGGTTATTTTTAATTTCTTCCTTCTTATGTTTGGTTTAATTTCATGTTAATGCAGGCCAAATTTATAGTGGTTTATGATGGATCAACTACTTCATTAAATGTAATATTGATAATATTTATCTTTTTACTGATACTCTTTGACATACGGTCTTACCAGCAAGTCATACCAACTTGGAGATTTTCTATTGCAAGCTTCAATTTAAGTAAAGGATTAACTTCTTTTTTTTGTTGTTGTTGATAAATGCGCTTTGGGGGCGCCGATTATTATTAAGCATTAAACGTAAGGAGAGTTATTATCGTACCAGACTGATCTTATCGAAACAATCCCTCATTTGTTTTTGCGGAAAGTAGAGAAAGCAAATGAAGGTGGTTCACTCCAGAAGTGTTCGCCACACTCGGCATTAGTATGTGAGAAACAGTTGCTTTCAAACTTCACTAGTGTGTGCGCCACTTGGTTCTCTTTAGGATAGATATGCCTAACTTCCGATTGATCTAGTGCTTTTAACATGAACATGTAATCATGGAGAAGATTAGCATTATCTTAAGTAAATGATTTAACTTACATACACTACTATGTAAATATTTTTTGACGTTTTCTTTCTGTTAAAATAATGTAGAAGGAAGAAGAATTCAAAATTTTGTAAATAAAATCAAGTGAAAGATCATGTATTTATATTCAAAAAGTTGGGTAATATCGAAGAGTTGCAACTAGGGGTGGACGTTCGGGCAGTTCGGATTAAATATAAAATTTCGGTTTGGATTTTCGATTTTCGGATTGAAGAAATGACAATCCAAATCCAATCCAAATAAGCTCGGATTGGATCGGATTTTTTAAGTTCGGTTTCGGATTAATCGGGTTGGATATTTTGGATTTTCGGTTTTGTGCCTATAAGTTTACATGTTTCTTCTTTTTACAAAAATGAATATCCAAATGAAGTACTCATATTAAATTGCCTGAAAAGTTACTCATTCTTACGGCAATCATCCAAATAAAGTATTCAAGTAATGAAATTACTATCAAGAAAATACAACAGAGACATTAATACGACCGATAAGAAGTAGTAATAGTAAAACCATATCCAAATAGAAAGTATTCTAATAATAATTTAGTAATTAATATTGCATATATGAAATAATATATAATGGATAGGGTATTTAAATTATTATTATAGGCATATAGATAATGGACTAAATATAAAGTATAAAATTTTCGGATTTTCGGATATCCAAAATTCCAAAGTACCAAATCCAACATCCAACCCGAAATCCAAAAAATTTAAAAATTAACTCCAAAATCCAATCCGTAATCCGAAAATCCAAACCAAAAATCTAAAAAATTCAAATTTCGGTTTGGATTTCGGGTTTGCCCAAACTATGTCCACCCCTAGTTGCAACTCTTTTTAATAAAGGCTGCAACTCAAAGTGGCTGTTTATGAAAAGTCTAATTACGCAAACCGTCAATTTCAAATTTTAACAAGAAAATCAAAACGGAAGAAAGTCAAATTACCGTTACGGAAACGTTTAATTTGGATAAAAAATATTAATTTAGTCTTAAATATATTTTCGAATACAGATTACTAATAATTTTTATATTATCAGTAAATTTTAACATATATTAGCAGATAATTTACTTAATTTTCAGGTTTTGATCCACTTACTATCGATAATTATTTGTAGTAATATTTAGGTGACCTGATATTATAAAAGTTCTTTCATATTGTCAATGTATAGAAGTTTAATTTAAATATAAGAAAAAGTTCAACTAACAATTGGTGTTGGCTTATTAATTTATGCTCTTTATTCGGAAACTAGAAATTATATTATGCTAAAGGAGGGGAAATTTTCTCGAATTTAATTAACATTTTGTTGTTCGGTTAAATATAAAGCAAAAAAAAAAAAAAAAAAAAA